CAATAACTGATGATAGAGTTCACCTTGCCTTAGATAATAGGAATTCTTAATCTGAAGTAGAATGGATGTAATCAGAAACAGACAAATGTTGGATGAAGGCAACCATGGTAACGGTGCTTCTGAGGCAAGAGAAAAGCACCGGCCAAGAAATTACTTGAACAAATAAAGGAAATAAAAGATTTACAGACTAAACAGTAGAGCAGGGGTGTCAAACTCAAGGCCCGGGGGCCAAATCCGGCCCGCGACTTCATTTTATGTGGCCCTGCAAGAGCTTGCAAATAATATAATAAGTGTATTATACGGTTAGTTGCCGCTTTACAGAAGCACGTTGCCAATAAACTACATGTCCCACAATGCATCTCATTTTGTGACATGTGCACTGAAGAGACTTGCAATTATTTGCCCTAGGCTTTTGCCTTCAGACGTAGTTAATTATGAAGTTATTACCCTATCCGATAATAATCCAATGGCAATAATGTAATATAATACATTATTATATATATATGATATAGTCTTAAAGTTACAACTGGCCATTTGAGTGCAACCATAATGCTAATGTGGCCCGCGATGAAATTGAGTTTGACGCCCCTGCAGTAGAGGGAGAATATTCTTTGCCATGGCACTTTGTTTAGGATGTGGGCTAAGAATAACTAAATCTGAAAGAAAAGTATCCATCTGTTTCACTCAACAGTCATTTGATCAATTGCTCATTAAAATATAAGTAGATTAAAGTAACTTTAAGTATAATTTGCTTTTCTCAGTCCTCTTGGTTTTAATGTTTAAGCAAAACCAAAATCTAAAAAGGCTCCTTATTTCTTTATTCCTCCTCAGGTTATTATAACTGAAGTAAAGTCATTGTGTCAGACAGTTGGTTACAATGAAATGAGAGGTCTGGTATAAACTAAAATGTCCTTTGACCTAACATCTGCCAACATGTACACACCAGGATTAGGGTCTATGTATTCATGTGAGCTTGGTTTCGAATGATCTCAGTGCCTGGAATTTATTTGATTTGTTGAATCAAAATAAATGCCTCTCGACAGTGGCTCAGCTGGGATTTAATCGACCCAGATGGAATCGAATAGATTTATGGAGAAATCAAAATAGAAATCGTAATAGAGCCTGTCAGGTTTGGATCCTGGGAGCTGTGTTGTACGGGCGGAAGCCTTCGGAGAGAAAGCTAATCACTTTTAGATGACCAGAGTCACGTCCCAGTGTACTTTGTATTCTGTGTGTATTTAGGTATCAGATATGTCCATCTGTGCAGTTTTCTTGACTGTAACAATGAGATGAATTCATAATCGGAAAAATGTGTCTGAGATCAGATTGAAACAATCAATGGATACTCTTACACTTTGAAGACAGTCATGACTAGTATATGTCAAGTATAACAAAAATATTCAAAGCAGCGTTGTTTGAAAGTGCATGATGATTTATGCATGTAGAGACACATCAAGGTTTAACTTTCCTCGGAAACACTGTGCCCTTATGACATCCCCAAAGTGCTGAGTGACATTTTCACTGCTGCGATTTGTCACCTTTTCTTTCCACGATCAAAGTCCAAAACTTAGAAACATCTGGCACTTAACCAGAGACTCTGCTTGATCTCTTAAAAACGCAACATATGTGGCTCCGATTGCACATGGCATCTCAGAAACTCAAACTGTGCGGCTCACTGTGTATCAATATCGTATCGCTCTCAAGCCTTTTAGCCCCTCCCGCTTCACCCTCTGTATATTTGCGCCATTATCTCGAGTGAGATACCACTCCTTAAAAGCTCATCAACGCAGATTTTCCCTCAGAGCCCGTTCTCTTTTTGTTATTCTTTGATAAGTGAAAGTCCTTCCCTCTCCTTTTTGGGACAGATACACAACCCCCTCCCTCCCGAAGCTTCCTTTCTCATGACAGATGACTTCACTCACTCATTCTAGACCGAGCCCTGGATAGGCCCTCTAGGCATGCATACTTAGGGCAAATCCCCACACACACACACACACACACACACACACACACACACACACACACACACACACAATTGGTGCTGCTGACCTTGTGTAGAGGTTGCAGCTTCAATAAAGCCCCCCAAAGCCTCCTAATCCTGTTCCACCGGGCCAAGGAATCAACTGAACCCTTCCTCCTCTATTCAGGATCCTGCACTTGTTTACATGAGAGCTGTTCAAGACTAAAAAAGGCATTCATAAAAATTGAATTGAATGATTTGAATCAAAAACTACAGTATTGTAATACATGAAGGCCTCTCAAAAAGTTCAAATGAAAAGGAGCCAAGCTGTCTGTGTCAAGCGTGTTGTACCTCAAACAGCTTTTTAACCGCAATCATTAGTTGTCATTCTGGCATGTGTTCCCAGTGAAACTGGACGACATTTTCTTTGTTATATCATGGACATCCTGCTTTGAACTGGTTTTTCCAGGTTGTGGTAAGAGTAAATGTTGCAGTAAAAGGTTGCAACTTGTTTGAATAGGAATATCTAGAACAAGTAGAGTGGTTTCATGCAGGTGTATGCTTTGGTGTGGTGTGTTCTAATATAAACAGAGTCGAGAAATATTTCTAATGTTTTCGCCAGTTACGCTTGATAAAAAAGCCAAGAGGTCAGCCACTGACTGTGCAGAACCATGTCAGGTTGGTCTGTGCTCCTCTATTTAATTCCTCATGAGATTGAGTAGCTGTTCAAGGACCACTTAATTCAACTTGGACAATTTCGGCCATGCACTTAATCACGTCTGTGTTGTTCTGTGATTCAGACTTCACCATGCTCTTCAAAAGTTTCAAGGTCTTGAACTTTATAACTTGAAGTTGAATATAATCTGTCATTACTGAATGCTTATTGCATGCTATTGAAAAACCACTGGAGCTTTGCCAAATGTTATAAATTAAGCTAAGCTGCAAAGAATTTCTTGTGACTGCCCATGCTTAATTTTATAACATAATTCAGAGGGCAAAAGTCAAGACTGCACCTGTCACGGGTGACTGACATTTTAATGAGTGAATAGTCAGAAAGGAAGACTTGGCTCCATATCAAGACTAATAATAAAGGATGTTTTACACACCAGCGACAAGAGGATAACATATTATTTGTTGTTTAAATCTCAAATTGGAATTCCATTTCAAATGTCATAATTTCGTTTTCAATACCCCCAGGGTTCCATTGGTGGATATCCCTGTTGTGAATGATATAAAGAAAGCGTTGGTTCAGCCATGTCTCGCTATGTGTGTGTGAGAGCAGTTCTTTACACCTTGTCATGCAATCATAGGGTGAATTTTTGGTGTACACATATTTTACCATAGGACAAAAAAAGCAATTGTTAGTTAGTAGTTTTTAAAATGTCATCCCATACTCCTTCGAGACCAAACCAAGATTGAGATCATACATATGTATTTGGCTTTATATTATAGGATATGTTGTGCATCTTGTTTAGGTAGAACATTAAGATTAAGATTCTTCTCACAACTTGTTTCGACTGCTGCACCACTTAAACTGTGAACCACGGGAAGCAGTAATAGTAAGAATAGAAATTATCTCTTGCATCCGGGGGGTTTGCAAAGTCGGCTAACTTTGCCTTGAAGACGATAAGGCTGCTAATAATAAGAGCCTCATGCTTGGTTGTGGACACTCTTGACTGAGGAAGTAATTAAGTTCAAGCAGTTTATCAGTGGCTGGCCGGAGATGTGCTGTCTTTGTGTGATAAAGAGGAGCTGGTGAGGTATGCCCTTCTCTTAAGTGTCCACCCCACCCTTTTTTCATCCTCTCCTGCTCAGTCCACTTCCCATAGGGGAAGCCCAAAGCAGATTGAGGCTGAGAGCCACACAACTTAGTCATCATGTCATTCATTGCTCGGCCTGTCCCTCCCCACTCTCCTCAGATGTCCAATCAAGCTAATTTTAGCCCGTCTTAGAGGGCCGTGTTAAATTTGGCGGCATGCCCCCAAGCGTGCCACGAAGCAGATCCGTTTGTACAGACCGCGTGCACGGAAAGTTACGCTCTTTTAGTTTTACAGTGATGCTCCCATGTGGAGTCTAGTTTACAGTAAACATAATTAGAATAGGAAGGTCTATTTCTGAGAGAGAGATGTGATACAGTTGAGAATGCCTTTCCCTTTCAATGATCGGAAAAAGTCTGCTTTTAGCATCCAGACGCAACTTAAAATGTCAACAGTGTACAGAGTTAGAAACAGTACATTAAGAATCTACTGCAAAGACAGTTTGTTATGTAAACAGTGAGGAGTCTTGGCAGCTCCTTACAGCTATTTGTCACCCGCTGTATACTACACATGCATTCCTGGTCCTTGAAAGGTAAACTGGCATTATTATAAGTCTTTTTCAAATCCAATCTTTGGATTTAAATCGCTTCTAATTCTGTCTGCATCTTCACTCCTCAGGCTTTGAATGTGAAAATAAGAATGAGAAATAAGATAAAAAATTAAATGTTGCTCATTATTACAGGACTCCGAGCTAAAGACAGAGCGAGAGGCTCAAACAAAGCTGAGCTTTATTATCTTTCAGTGGCTTCATGTGCATCGCTTATCCTTCAACGTTACATAAAGTTGTTACATCTCTTTTACTGTGATGTAGCCTATTGCCTGGAGCTACAGTATGCTCCCACTTAGAGTCCTGATATGTTTCTGACTATGTAAAGGTGGACGTATTTGTGCATATTCTCAGGCCTTAGTACAGAGAGTGCCTTTGAATGAATACGTTATAGCAGAGAAGCCGGAAGGCACCATTTGTTTACAGTGACAGGTGTAATGAATGAGCAGCGCACAGTGAATGTAAAACAGACCAGTGTTGTACTTAGGATATGCAGAATACTAAGTGGGTACGTAAATTAAATGTGGTTCTGTGCACACTTGGAGAGACAACAAATGGAGAGCTTGTTTTAGCCTCAGACATTGTGTGTTGGTTCAGATTGAATTCCTCTCTTTAAAACATCACAAACAAGGTATTATATAACATTCCTGTGTGGGATTTTTTATTTCTTTCACAGACAGCGAGATGGTCCCTCTGGATTGCCTGCGTCCTCGTTCTTTTGCTGCCGCCCACAGGGCCTACATTCAGCGAAACAGCGATGACCCTCGCCTTTCCATCAGCCTGTGTGACCTGAGCCTACAGCAGCAAGACACGCATCTGGAAGAAGATGATGAGGAAGAGGAACGGCTACATCGCTTAAGCTCCGCCTCCTGCCATGTGCCCCAAAACTCTCAAAACTCCCAGCAGTGCTCGCTGTTGCCCAGCCACTTGGACACTGATCTGCACTTCCACTCGGTGCATGGCGTCCATGTCACTGGGCTGGATAAGCACACGGTGGCGAGGCTGGATCACCGTGGTGACGAGAGGACCCTGGTGTTCACCAATCGGCCGATGAGTTGTTCAGAGACGGTGTTTGTGAAGGTGAAGACAGGTGTAGCCCGGCCTGGGTGTCTCTCTTACGGCGTGACATCCTGTGACCCAGCCACCCTGAGGCAAAGTGACCTCCCGTCAAACCCAGAGTCCCTGGTTGACCGCAAGGAGTTCTGGGCCGTGGGTCGGGTGGCGGTGCCGCTCCACAGTGGAGATATCCTGGGCTTTGTGGTGAACGCAGAAGGAGAGGTCATGATGAGCCACAACGGTGTCAGCGCGGGGATGCAGCTGTGTGTCGATAACTCCAGACCACTCTGGATGTTCTACGGTCTGCACGGCACCATCACACAACTCAGGATTTTAGGTACGCTCACACCACTTTTATTTTATTTTAACAGCCTAAAATACCTTTCAGATTTTATATTCGTTTGGGAATGATAACCTAAAACGTACCCCAGTACTTAAAATAGCTTAGTTTCACTGATTCCACATGCCTTCTTTTCTCCATTCAGAGTCAGTGATGTTTCCCATGTTATTGAACTGTCGAAGGAAACCCACAAATCCAAGCTAAAATGCAAAATTAGCAACAATTTGCAAATTATATATTTGTTCTAAAATGAAAAGACGACAGATTTAGCCAAGGAGAAAAGAAGAAAAGAAAGCTTTTTTATAAGCATTAGTTGTAGCAAATGTTTAAATATAAAATCAATTCAAGCTGAAAAGAAATGTAAAATGTTGCGTAGATCTTTACACAATGTAATTTTCCTACTTTCCACTCAGAGGTTTTGCAGTCTTGGATCCCTGAATGACCTTTTGAGGCTGAATTTCCACTCAGCCGAGTCATTGAATAGTTTCCCCCTAGTTTCCAATCTTGGCTGCTCTGACTCTTTATCAACTCGTACATCTGTCTGGCATTTACATTCAACCCCCTCACAGTTTGGATATGAATATTAACGTTGTGTCCTCTGCCATGTGACTCCAGCAGATTCCACACAGTGATGCTTGCTTTTGAGAGTCTTACTCCCTGGATGTTCCTACATAGCAATAGTTTTTGGTTTGAGTCAAAGGCTGGTGAGCTTCCAAGTGGAGATCTAATCATAAGTGTATTGTCTAAATGTTCAGGACTTATTCTTTCTAAATTGTAGGATTCTTCCCCTATTGTGTTTTTTAGGAAACACTGCACTAATCTCCATCAAAGAGGTACAAAAACGTTACCACATTTTGTGCAAATATAGTCTAAGTTTGAAATATTTAGTATGACTTGCTCGGTTTTTAAGACTCCTGCACTTGCAAAATTCTCAATTTTTCATTAGAAAGAGCTCAAGCATGCTTGGACGTGTCTTATTGTGTGACTGAAGTACTAAAGAGTGCAGCAAGCTAAATGTGAGTGCTTTTGATTTGTTTGCAGTCGCCGCAGATTCATCATAATTATTTGAAAACAATCTTTCGGCCGCGATGTCTTCTGGCTACAATGGAAATGACTCTGTACCAGCCGGTTAGCCTTCTCTTCACAGGAAGTGTATATATAATTAAGAGGCAAAGTTTCTGTCCTATTATTCATAACAGTTTCTCCTCTCCTCTCTTTCATGTTGTCAGTCAGACCAGGGCTGAGGAGGTTATTTCTGTCTTGCGTGGGCTCCCAGCAGCCAGCATTATGTATCAGCAGGAGGCCCGTGATAGCTCCTTATGATGCCCTCAATATGCATTATTAAAATGTAATTGCATGGAGGTTTGAGATTCTGGGTATTCCACCCACAGCTCGTTCCCCACAACACTGGTCCTCCAATAATATTTCCCTTCTTTACTTGTGCATTTCCTTATCCTAAGCGCCCACTGCCCACCCTCAGTCCGTACTGATTCTTTGGGGTATGAGCGCTGTTCGTGTCATTACCCACTCCAGCTGTGGGGAGTGCATTTGTGACGTCTGTGCGCACCCACTCTCTGGAACCACATGACACGTGTTGCCATGGAAACATCTAGCCGCTGAGGCAATTGACAGTTTGTCATGGCTGGGTGTCGTCAAGCCAGTGAAATGGAACAGATGGGAGACTGTCGCTCTCACGTCGTCATTATGTCAGTGTTATCTTTTTAATTTCATGTGAGACAGTTTGAATCGATTATGACCTTCAGTCGTCATACTACAGGTCTCCTGCTGTGGGTTTACGTGTTTAAGTGCTCAGCAGTAATCTTAAAGCTGATGCAATTAAGATTTTTTATTAATTAATCATATAACTCTTTGTTCGTGAAAAGCGGTTACTCTAAGTGCAAACGTACAGAGACGTATCATGGCTCTAAAGCTTCCTTTAGCTCCAAGTAGCGTTTGGGCGTCTTTGACTCATTGCTTTTGCACTTCTTTTGCAACTTCATATGTTCGCGTATGCAATCGTTTAGGCTATATCAAGTAGCCTTTTTCAGTACAAAAAAGCTGTAAAACTGTGCAACACACAGACACAGTTATTGACATGCTAGAGCCAAAAGTGAAGCACTTAACCTAGCTGCTAAAGACAGTGATATTTCCCCCAGGAGTTGCTAGAGAACAAAACAAAGCTACAATGCTGGACTTAAATCCATTAAAGGACCACAACACCAAATGATAGTTCTTATCCAGCTTTATAACTGATCTATTAATAGATTACGTCTCTTGGCTAACAACTTTGCCAAATTAGCTAAAAAGGGGATGTCAGTGTTGTGTTTACAAGCTCCTTTCTGCTGCCCCAAACGGACCAAAAGAAAATTGTTAATGCAGGTTTAAAACAAGACTTTGGGAAAGAAATAAATAGCCTGACACGGTGTGCCAAAAACTCTATATTTGATAAGCAAGTGTTGAAAGCCACCACATGCTTAGCCACAAATAAGTCTCCTGTACTGTCTGCATGACTAAAGCTATTCACATACTCATTCCTGGTCACATAGCCAGCAGTAAATTCATAATACAAAAGTAGATGAGAGGTACGCTTGATGAAAGGACCAGGAATAGACATGAGGGTTATCTATTCCTTCTCATTAGGAGTTCATCAAGACTTTTGCTAACAGCTGGTCTGCCACATAGGTCAGGCTAAGCAGGTAATGGAAGGGAGGGAGTATAAGAGCCATAGTATTGGTACATGCCTCTAAGAAATAATAAAATAAAGAATACAAAGATAGACGAAAAAGCTTGTCTCAGCAAAAATAGAACAAACACATAGATCACAGCGCTAAACTTAAAAGTACATATTATGGAGGTTTTCTTATAGCAGCAAGCTGATCATTGCATGTCTAAAAGGTTACTATAGTTTGTTTACGTAGGCTGAAACGAGACTACTGGTTGGAGTGGTCCAAAGAAAGAGGCAAGAGTTCAGAGCACGAAGCTAGGGTTATGCAACAAACTGTATACATTTTTCTGCAAACAACACACCACATAAGTGTCTTTTGCTTATATTAAGCCAACAGTCTTTTGTTATTCAAGCAATTTCTCACCAACTGTGGTTCTTTTTTTAGCTGTTTCTCCACCCCACACTGCCATTGTATGAACATTTGGACAAGCAAACTGTGGGAGAGGATGCAAACAACCAATAATAGATCATTTGACACGTACTGTATGAATGACGGTGCCAAGTGAGCGGCTGGCCTGACGGTTTAGCAATATTTCTGCCGTGATCATTTGAAGGACAATGCATAAACAACAATGCTGTGTGCCCGTCAGGCAGACTGGATCAGAATCTGTCTCTGAAATCAGGGTCGGTATTCTGGTCTGTGAGGAGAGACGAGTGCCAATAGAAAGAACTGATGCCAGGGCCGGTGGTTATGAGGTGCGAATGGGGACGGATCACACGGGACACACAACAGATTCTGTGAAAGCCTTTTGTACCCTACCCAAAGGCATCATGGGCTCATGAAGGAGGAAGGAAGGGGGGGGGGCTCTTGACTCACTTACACACACCCACACACAGACACTGTGCACTCACAAGTCATCTGCTTGGTTATAGAAGAGATGTACTATGTGTGTGTTTCAGTGTGACAGACTGAGACATTAACAGGGATGCAACAAGACATCCTCTCACCTACATTTTCTAATTAACAGCTCAGCGGAGTGTCATGATGGAAATATTTGATTCCCAGTTGGGAACGATTGCATTTAGCTTCCTTTTTTATAGATGATCATATTATCAGCGTTCAATTTATTTATAGTCTGTAAACATTACCAGCTACTTCAATATTTTGATATGGTCACTTTCTTTAGATATGCTGCTACTTAGGTGTTGTTTTTTTACCATGGTGTACTTATCTGTTAGTTATTTTTACTTATTGTGTTTCTTTTTTACAATTAATAATCCGTGCATACTTTATATAATATGTAGGTCTACTCTTTTTGCTTAATCTGCACTATACTCTTGCTGTTGTAATACCATAACTGTCTCTGTTGCGGGACAAATCATGGAATTCAGATTTTTATATTGTGCTAAGTCTTTGTTATTGTGACCCAGATGTCTCTTTTGTAACTTCAGGCTCATCTCCACACCCAGACCTTCGAGGCCCGTCGGTCCCCAGCTCCCCATCCTGTACACCCAACACCCCCACAATGCTCAGCAGCGGCAACTCCGAGCCAAACCTCAACACACAATTGAACATCAAACTCAATTCAAGCCTCAACTCCAGCTACTACTCAGCCTTTTCCTCCTCCACAGGTTTGTCTAATAGTTCCAGTTTCACTATTTTTCTATGTTTTCTCCCTATGGGTATTTGCTAAGCAGATGTTTGCGATATTTTTTCTTTGTTTATTTATGAAATTCATAAAAAATGCAGGCATGCGGGAGAGCAATAGAACAGCCGTCAGCACACAAATACTGACTGTACAGTGCCAAGACATCGGCTCACAATACGCATGGATCTACATAAAGCAAATATTTACCTCGGGATGTGAAGCAGTGATCCCCGACATCACTGCTGTCCCAAGCTGCAGACAGCATGACAGGAAAAATCCTGGTAGATAATAGCGACAGAACGAGCTTCATTAGCAGAAAAAAGTGGGCATGGTAATAAAGAATACACAGAAAAAGGTGCATTTGATACAAGAGTCTCATTGGAGTGTAGCAATAAAACTGTCTGCCTGAACCACTTGGAAGCCTATTTCAATTTCTTGTTCAATTATCTTTCCAAGTCACTCACAGATCTCAAATGTGTTGTCTCATCACCACAGGTACAACTCCAAGCTCTCCATTCTCCAGCCACCCAGAGTCCCCCACCTTCCCATCATACTCTGGCTCGTGGAGCGACGAATGCACCATTTGCTACGAGAACGAGGTGGACACCGTACTCTACGCCTGCGGACACATGTGTCTCTGCTACGCCTGTGGCCTCAAACTCAAGAAGATGGCCAACGCATGCTGCCCCATCTGCAGGAGGACAATCAAAGATATCATCAAGACCTACCGGAGCACGTAGGCTAAGACTACAAGTCGCATAGTCAGGTTCAAGAGGTTGTTTAAGCCATGCAAGACTTTGTAAAGACAGATGCAGCACAAGTGAATGCCCCGTTTCTTTAGGTGTGCAATCTGGCTCAGGTACTCTACAGCAGGACTCCTGCAAAATCCATCTTTAAAACATTTTATCTGTCAAATGAAGATCTTTGGAAATCTCACAGCTCCCATCTGTGATGTCTCAGTAAGGATCCGGCTATGAAACTCATCATACAGTGAAAAAAAAGTATGTGCAACTGCAGGATCTGCAGATAGGGCCATGGCCTACTCATGTCGAGTGAATCTGTGCTTTGTGTGATTTGCTGAAGAGAAAGAGTAATCTGAAGAGGCATCTGCCCTACTTCCTGCAGACTAACGTTTCATTCTGCTGGTGATTGCATCACTGCGAGCTAATTTTAAAAAAAGGTAGTAAAATTGTCCATAGCAGCAGAAGAAACGAGAAGAATAAATATGTAGTTCCACCAGCTGCTTGTCAGAATGCATTCAGTCAAAAAGTGTAAGAGTAAGAATCAATGCTCATTTAAAATCTGAGCAGTATGATCAACATTGGTTTCATTTGACATTTCCTGAATACATTCAGACGTAAGTGGGGAACGGGTAAACATTAAGAGTTTTTCCTTGTAAAAACCTAGCAGTACGTCTAAAATAAGCCATTTTTTTTTAATACTCAGAATATTCCCCTGCAATAAAACACAATGAAATGCCTAGGCCTAAAGGGTAAATAAATTAAGTGTTAGTCAGATATCTCACTGCCTGTTGTGCTTCTGTGAATTTCAGACAGGGCGAGATACTGTGAAGGGTAAAAAAAAGTGTGAATGTTGTCACCATAGAAGGTCAAGCTCACGGTGAATGAGGATGTAAATCAGTGACGAGGCAGCGAGGTAGGAGAGAGGATGTTGTATGTTTGGGACGAAGACAGGGGAGGAAGGGCCACCTTTAGCTGTGTGTCTGCTCATCGTTTCAGTGCAAAGAAAGTGTTTGCTCTCTCAGGCACAGCCCATACATCAGAGGTTTGTATGAAAGCCTGTAAAATGTGGGACTTGCATGAGTTGCATGTCCTGCTTCTTGGCGTTCTCAATCAGCTAGCTAGATGCTGCGGTTGGACAAAAGTCATCCAAATAAACATTGGTGGGCAGGGAAGTATTTTTAAAATGCTGAACAAGCACATAAAGATGAGAAACCAATCTCTTCATCATTGTAAGAAAGCCATGAAATCCCTCTGTAAAGTTACAGATGGCTTTGCATACTTCAGGTTACACACACTCCTTCATATGTATATTAAATCAAAACATAAATATTTTTCAGCAGTGACGCATTTCATTAAACCAAGTGAAAAAACACACACGACTGCAGTCAGTGACAAGGCTTGTTATTGTAGCACGTTGTGAGGTCTGCATTTGCATATCAGTGTCTGAGTGCTGCTCTTAGTCTGTAAAAGCAAACTCCAAGGACAATTTCACTCAAATAACTTCATGCATTATTTACTGCTTTGAATTGTGAAGAAATGCAAGCTATTTTCAGGTGTAATTTTGGTCTTGCTAAAACTTTAGTCTTTTGGTAAGTAGTAAGTGCTATTACGTTTTTGTTTTTCGAGGTGTTGAAGCTTTATTTTGCCGCTGTGGAGGGAAATGTTCTGTTGTATGACGTTTGAGTCAGTCAAGTTTTCTTGTGTGCCTTTAAAAAGAGAAGTCTGGACACACATTGGGTCTTCTAGGCTCCTCCTTGTAAAAACAGGATGTTTATATTCATCTTAAAGTCGCTCTTACATGGTTTTAATGTCTCTGATGTGAGCAGGTTTCACCACAAAACATACAAAACAAACATTTCAGTGTGCTTAATATCAGTGTGTGAATGTATTCACTGCTATGAAATGTTGTATTATCGTTCCCTTTGTCACTGCATCGCATAATACTGGAATTTTGTTGTGCTTGAGAGATACTCCTTTTACGTTTCTACCTGTTTTTGTTTTACTTCCTGACCAAATATGACCTAGCAGAAATAAAACATTTGTGAAACATTTTGATAGAAAAATAGCATTGATAAGTGTAATATTAACTGTACATTATGAGGTTTATTTATTTAGTCAACGCTACTATAAAGAAATTATCATTGTTTGTTTTACATGTATAGCTACAGTATACTGTCCAAAAAATAAGAAAATTGTTTATTTGAGTGTTGCATAGTTAATTACAGAACACATTATGCTCCCTGAAAGGCTCTGTTTGGCATTTTTGGGAAATATGTTTATTAATCGTCTGGTGAAGAATACAATCATTGAGGCCACTTTCAACTGGTATTATGTATATTTACTCACATTAGGTACAAGTACCGTAAAGTTACTTGAGTAATTCCAAATACTTCTACTCCCAGAAGGAAAATACTGTACATTTTATTTTTTAGCTTAAACACAAATGCCCTGTAAAAATTATAGCAATATCGTATAAACTAACAATATACCAGACAGAAGTACTTTTGATACAGATGGGGAATAGATGGTTAACAAATCATTTAGCAGCTAAAGAGCCAGATATTCCCTCAAGTATTGCTGGAGACCAAAATCAGAGTCTGAAAATGAAGCCTATCATCTTTTTAGCTGACTATTTTCCAGAAAGCAGATAAGCAAACTCTACAAGATGTCAAGTGTTCCCTTGAATGCCATATACAAATGTGTGCTTTGAAAAAGGGAAATAAATTGTTTAAAGGTGGCATTACTCTACTTGTGCATATTTCAATTATATCTTGAATTTGGGTTGTAGGTTAAGCAGGCGTAGTTCCAATACAAACATCATTTTCCCAGCCTGCTTGTCAAATTGTTTTAAGCCTAAATAAAACAAAAACAGCAAGTAAGTGAAGGAAGACATAGTGCATGGTGGACAAGATTATCAGCTCATAACTTTGGTTTCCTTGGCTTTGGATTTATAGTCGTTAGAAAATGATTCTTAAGGTGGTTTAATCATGTTCAGTTTGTTAAATAAAGTTTTAAATTTGAATCACTGTACTGATTCCTTATTTATTACATGACAAAACATTAAATCATCAGCTTATACAGAAGTTATTTAAGAAAAAAACATATCCCTATCACTTATTTGGCTCGCATTGCAATAAAATGTTAAACCTGGCCATTTCCATTTCACAGCTACAGTCCTTTTGCGTTTTATGCACAGCTGGAAACAACTACATCTGGCACAAAAGATAGGGAATGAGAGAGCATTAGTGCCATTCCCTTTTCCCAGAGCATACATTATATAAATGGCTGATATAATGTCTTGTGCAAAAAATAAATTCAAAATTTGAAAGCAATTTGAGGACAAAAAGCTGCCACTTTACACAATCACTCTCTACAGTAGTATAGCCTCTTGACTAACACCCTGCCTTATACTATATGAATAACAAAGGCAAGGGGCTTTTAGTAAACAGATATAACTCACAGAAAAACTGTTTAGAGTGGTGGTATGTAGACCTGGCCAGAGTGAAGCTCATCTGTTATTTACTACCCCGTGGGCCTGGCTCTAAAGCTGCACTCCAACAGGCACAAATACAACTATGACGTCCGGACATGAAACAGACAGCGGCTGCCGTTCGTGGCCAAGTGTTCTTAGAGGGGAGAGTAAAAACACAGCCAGGAAATGTGACAGTGACATGAATACGGTATATCTCACCGGTTTCTGTGTACACACAGACTTTCCACTCAGACCTCTCAGTGAACCTGGCTGTCGGCCTTCTGAAGGCTTGAGGGCTTGGCAGACTTGTTGGAGCATTGTTATGGTATCTCTTCTGGACAGCTGTTTGGTCAAACGCACATGCTATCTATTAGGGTACCACATTTGTATTCCAAAAAAGCACAACACCATTGATTTTGAATTTGACATCAGACAGTCAGGATTTTGAGTTTGCTCCTCTGTTGTAACTAAAGGCTTTAAGCTTTCAGTGTTCAGTGTGATGTCAAATATTTTCCTCAGTGAGATTGGAAGCATTAAGGGACAGACTCTGAGGAGAAGTGCAATTATTTAAAGTACAACGTTGTTCTGAGTGCAAAATATCAATTGAGAGTTTTTGTTCTCACCCTTTTATAATGTAATTGCCGTGTTGATGAAGACAGAGTCTAAGGTTGCCGTAGAGCAGTGAAGCTGAGTGCTGCTGCCCTCCAGAGGCCACAAAGAGCTCCAGCACTTTTGCAGAGGACAGAAAACCCTAAAAGAGAAGCACATCAGCAATGGTTTGATAATGAAAACACTGGGGAGAGCTTACTTGTACGGTTCTTATTATATTTCCTGCATCAATTTGACAACGTGCTCTTCACACAAGGTCTACTTACAATGTTGAGAGCCTTAAGTCACATCTTAAATCAACTTGCCCAGCAGGTCAAGATAAAGAATAAACGTCCACACTCAGTATAAATTACACTTTGAACAACTTGTGACAGAATAATAGACAGAACACCATCAAATGTGAAGTCATAAGTCCTTCTGGGTATCTTTATCTCACCTGCAACATCTTGACGTTGCTTTTTCTCTTTTTTTTTACTTCTGTGATTTATCCTTTGCAATAAACAAACTCTACACATGAGTACAACAAGCAAAAAAATACAGACAGCCAGCAGACAAACATGGTATAAAGATGATCAACGGGCATCCATAACTTAGTTCCAAGCCAGTGAGTGTAGTATGAGATCCCAATAGAGGAGACAGCCAGCGGGATGGACATATTTCACACTAAGTTCCTGTAGGCTGTAAATCTTATTATATTCCAGTCACCAAATCCAATATATCAAAAGAGTATGCAGTGTCTCACATCAGGGTTTTGATTTGGTGTTTCTGTGATTATAGCTGAAGGAGACAATATTATAGGCTACAACTCCACACTGGTGACTTCAACTTTTGCTTTGTCAGTCTTGCTAAATTAAGCAGCCCAGTGACCACAGAATGAAAACCCTCTAAACCAACGTCAGATGTTTAGGTTCTCCTGAAGCTGCCAGAGGAGGCCAATCAAAGTGAAATGCATCACTATGTGGCTCAGAGTGTTGTGGGTAGGAAATAAAATGGATGACAGGCAACCAAGTGTGATCTAATGTATCTGCAGCATCCAGCTGATCAAACACTTTGGCTATGATGCATATGCAAAAATGTGTTTTTATATTGGATATTATTCTCTATCTTATTCTTAGGCAGAATGCTTTTAATGCAACACAACCGAGAGGCTTAATAATAATGGTGATTATGGCCTGTGATAACTTTTCATTAAATTGTTTATTATACGCCACATTAATTTGCAATTAATTCACCAGATGATTAATCCCTTCTCATATGATGTTCGTAAACAGTGGCGGTGATTGCCATGCAAAATGCAACATGTGGAGCATTAAAGTCAATTGAAATGGCTGCTGTTTTACAACATCCACATCTGCTCTGTAAATCACCTGTCCTAGGTACTAGCACATTTATTTATATTGTAGTTTAATGACGGCTATAGACTTCACAAGAACAACCAACTTTCCTACTAAAAACTCCATCTTATTACAAACATGGACATGCATCTTAGCTTGTTGAACTAGCCACCAAACAAAGATTTACCTGGGAAAAATACACAGAAACCGCATTTTGACTTACCCGCATGAGTGACTTTAGTCCAGTCAGCTGTTGTTGTGTTCCTTACTCCTCCTTACACAGACTGATTCAAAGCACACTAACTTGATACATCCATGCTAACAACACGCTGTCCGTCAATTACTTACTGACTGACAGCCTTCCAACTGCTGTCAATCAAACATTGACAACGACACGCCTCCCCTTAAAAGGAATTTCTGATATTTCCTCAAATACATTTCTTTCTTCCTTATAAATAAGGAAAAACTACTTGCGCAAAATACGTTCACAATATCAGTGATATCAACATTTGATGTCTTACACTTGAAAGAGACAATCATGTTTCAGCTATTTCGTTTTTTCTTACCAGATATGCATTTAGTTTGGGTTTTGAACAAATACAAATTAAAGCACATAGGCTTAATAGCATTGGGGATACTTGTTGAATGTATTTAACTGTGTTAATTTATTGTTTTGTGTATCATTGAATGTATGGATTTAAAATGCTAAAGTGAGTGATACACATGTTACACTTACGCTTCCCTGTCGATACAAATACAAATGCTAAAGAAACCTAAATATCACACATCAACTATATGAATAACTATTGTCAACTTGTCCCTTTTTAGAATGATATTTTTAAATATCATCTGGCTTTTATTTCATTCATACTAAACGTATTGCAACATCATGGCTGGTGTGGATGAAGGGGTATGTGAGATTGTCTTATGCAAGAGTAAATGTCAGAACAGTTTGGAAAACACTATAGAGGCCCAAACCTGATGTGTGGGCGAACAGAAACTATGGGTGAAAAAAAGCAGGTAGGCTACTTATGATTGTTAAAAAGTGCATTTATTGAATTCATTCTTTTGGCACTTCAATTATCATCATTGGTCACACAGTTAACATTAAACAAAAGTGAGCATCGCAGTACTTCTGCAGCTGAAGAGTTATGTAAAAATTACTGCCCAGCAGAAATTCAAAATGTTATTATTAAAAGAGCAGTTCTTAAGAATCTTTAAGCGGTTGTGATTTTTTTTATGAGTACATTTCTTAAAATAATAATAATAATAAAATAAGTAATAATATGATTTTTAAGGAATGAATAAATATAATTTCAAATGACATTTCAATTTGGACAAATAACCCCTAAAATGAAAGTAAGACATTTTAGGGGAGATCATCAGGAATTGAGAGTGTAAGATAATACTGTGATAGTCTGAGATGCTCACAAATTGTTTTGTTAGAACAATATAACACAATTAAATTGGATAAAATATTTCACATAAAGGTGACATACAGTATAAGAAATGTAAAAAAAACATGCAAACAGACAGCACCATGGTGAGACTAACGAAAAGCAGCTTTGGCAACAACTGAGATTTTCTTTAAAGAAAGGAGGAGAAAAAGGTTCAACTTCAACAGCTCAAGGCATTGTCAGTATAATGAATTGTTTCAAACATGCAGTAAGCTTTAAATGCATAAAACGTTTTTTTTTTTAAATGACATCATAAACTTACAAAGAAGGGGTTCAAAGATTGGACATAAGATAATATCTTAGTTCAAGTTAAAGGCAACCACTGAAGAATATCATTCAATCATTCTTCCGCTCACTGGTGTTCTCTTTGCCTGCGTCCCTAAGTCTCGATATATTGCTCCTAATGCAACGTCTCAGGTACTGTATCATGTAGACTCATTTTACCAGATGTCTCATTTCATTTCAAAGTCACAATTTGATCTGGCTGCTCATTTTGGCAAAAGGTACCGGAGTAAGATTTCAATCCTTACTTAAGGTCTTAGGGTTTGCTTCTTTTTTTTCACAAAACAAATGCATCAGTTGAGTAGTCTTTACACGCAGGTTCAGAGTTCTGCCAGCTCCACACATGATTGCTAGGGCTTTTTCTCGAGGTAATTTGAGGGAACCCATCCTTTCCTAGGTCTGCCACTGTCCAGAATCTTGCAGTACCACCATCCATTGGGGTTTCTGTCAAGGACCTCCAGACTTGTCCCCTCAGGAAACCCCATGGTCTCCTCATCGCCATGATAATCTGCTATGGAGACAAACACCTCTTTGAGGTTGTTATGGATGATGTGGGGCTTTGGTTTAACGGTGGATACAGGGAAGGCATTCCTCTGAGAGCCAAGGCCAAGAGATTCAGAGCTACCATTAGCAGATCTGTTCCTTTGGGGTAGTGCTATGTTGTTTGGCAGCAAGTTGCGTGGCACAGTGCCGAAGGAGGCATTGCGTCGCACCGTAGGGCTGGCACGAGGGTGGTCTGTGGAGTTGAGGGACTCGTTTCTCCTGAGAGAGCCAACAGGGCTGGCACCGTCCCTGATCGGGGCCGAAATGAAGACGGACTGAGGTCTGACCAC